ACCTATTGTACATGTTTTTGTGTTGTGGGGGAAACCGGAGTACCCGGAGAAAACCCACGCAAGCACGAGGAGAACATGCAAACTCCGCACAGAAAGACCCCAGGTCCGAACCGGGGATCGAACCCAGGACCTTCTTGCTGTGAGGCGTCGGTGCTAACCACTGAGCCGTCGTGCCGCCAGTGTTACAACTAATCAGGGATCCATTTAATGGTCAAATTATGTTCCACCGTCAACTCTTAATGACCAGTGTATTTACACACTAAAGAATATTTTGAGGGCTGGTTTCTCTAAAAATTTGTGAAGGACCAAGAAGAACGTCATTCGTTTACCAGATCCTCCTCCCTCAACTAGAGCAGAGGCTTTGACTGAGGCAGGCTGCTGGTTTGGGAGTCAGCTTGTTCAGACCCTGATGTTGCATTCAGAGTTATGTAGGAAACTAAATTATCTTTATTTTGATACCAAGTTTGGGGGGTCTAATGCGTTTTTCTGGATGAAAATCACGATCAAACAAACTGAGTTTCTTTTCATCTTTTCTATAATCACATATACAAAGTGTTTAATATGTATAGAAAGCTTAAAATCTACACTATTTGTTGATATAAAAACATTTTTCTTGAAAGCAACATTCTCAGATGTTGCTTGCAGAAGTCAGTGAGTTTTTTTTCTCCTGGAGTGCAGAGCTAAAAATGAGGAAAATTCCATGCAGCTAGCAAAAAAAGCTAATTCACTCTCCTTTTTTTTTGTTACTGAGGGAGTATTTTTCAACATATTAAAATAACAAAAAACAGTATAAAGATGGAACTCCAAACTTATTTTTCTGCCTTTACTAAATAGATACAGAGTAGTTTTTATAGGCTCAAACTAAACTGCACTAATTTTCTGCCAGAACCTGACTGGCCTCTGACCTGTTATACCATCAGAATTTCTTAATGKCCCGTGCCCAGTTGACTCTTACAATTACTCAAAACTGAATAGGGTTAACTTTGTAATCAACTACACAGCAGGGTGAATTAAAGCGGGTGGTGTTATATATTTTTCAGACATAGTTCAATTCTATGCCATGACAAACCACGTTACCTTATGACAATAAAGCTTAAAAAAAGTTGATTTCGCATAATAACCCCCTTTAAAAAAACTCACATCATCGTCATCATCAGTTGACATTTCGTCCTCATCGAGGTCCATATTGAAGTCTGCACTTAAGTCCGCATTAAGGTCCATGTTGACTGAGAAGTTCTCTGTGTCGCTGCTTTTAAGACTTGGCTGCTGCGCAGAGAAAAAYGTTTTGTATTCTTAAATTGTTTCTGCTTCTTAAAAGTCATAAAAACATGTTTAAAAACTGTGGCAACATTACACAACTGTTACCTGAGAGTCCGTGATTTCATTCTGTAAAATGATAACAAAAGGTTAGTAACCASACAGGTGGAACTAAGGTGAAACATTTAGAGCCACTGAGTTCGCTACCTGAAAGTTTGAGTTGTCGTCGTACATTTCAGGACAGTCGTCGTAAGGCATCTGACTMAGAAACTTGCTTTCAGGGTCCTGAGGGGACGAGCCAGACGAACAGATGCAGATGTTAAAAGGTAATAATACTGATGAACATTAAAAAAAAAAAAAAAAAACAGCGAGCAGCCACTGGCTCACCTTACGAATGGGACACATGCATCTGCGTTTCCGGCACAGGCGCTTCTTGGCTTCGGGGCTCTGCAGCCCATGCTTGCAGTTGGCACACTGCCCACAGTTCACAGAGTTGTGACATCCCACACACTGACCACAAGGAATCCACTACCAGTTCCACAAACAAAAACAGACAGACTGTTTCTGAGAGAATATCTGTGAGCCTACTGGATTTTATAAAACACAGTGAGACGTGCAGAGAGCACGCTGAATGTTTGCATGGACTCAAACGGCTAAATGTAGCACTTTAAAGGGATCCCTGATTAGTTGTAACGTTAGACTTTATTTGATAAAAATATCTTTAAATTGTAAAATAAAGACTGTAAAAAT